TTTTTTTCCAGGCCCACCCTGAGCACAGCAGACTTTGTCTCTTGAACAGTGCCACGCACAAAAACTGCAAACGTGTTTTTTCCTACAACAAGTCCCTGCGCGCGTGCAGTTTTCTTTGCTTATAAGTCCACCGGGCGGACTTAGTAACTCCCCACTGCCCAGATAGTAAGTCCTTCAGTTCTGAGTTATAAGTCAGCCGCTGCAGACTTGTAAGTCATGCCTGTAACTGACTTGGCGTGGACTTGCGCAAGTCCTCCAACTAGGTCATAAGTGTCTCAGCATGTTGGCCAAGTCTGCTATATACATAGCAACACCGGCGACCATCCAAGTGGGGTTTGCGCCAAGCTTCGCCGCCCCAGCCCGCGTCAGCGAGGCGTGAAAACCTTTGTCGCGCCGCTCGCTCAGCTGCTCCAGCGCAAAGGGCCGCTTGGCCAGCTTGAAGAGGAAGTGGCGCGCGAACTGGCGCAGAGGTCGCGGACTTCGGCTGCTCGCCCCCGCGCCCCGTAGAAGGTCCAGAACGGGCAGGAGACCACGCGCCCTCGCTGAGCCGCCGGCCGTGCGTCTGTCCGCAGCTGTCGCGGCTCAGCCGGCCAAGCTTCGCCGGCGGCCGCCGCCTCCAGGAGTTGGAGGCGGACGGGCGCCGTCTTGAGAGACTCGGCCGCCGTGGGGTCGTTGCCCGCCTGGCGCGTGGTCAAATTGGCGCACTCCACCGCGCCGCGGCAGACGCCGCGGGCGTAGCAGTCCGTGGTCAGCCGCTTGGCCACCCTCGCCCCGATGTAGCCGGCGGGCTTGTCCTTCAAGTCTTCGCCGAGCTCCCGATGGCCGCGCTGCCACTCCTTGAGCTCTTGCACGGCGATGGGCAGCCGCTTGTTCATGTAGTCGCAGCCGTAGCCAGCTTGGGCGGCCTGCGCGACGCGAGAGCAAACAGAGCCGGGCAAAACCGCGGCCACTTCCCGCCCGGCCTGGGTCCTCTGCGCTTCTCGGACGAGCAGCTTGACGTCGCCGTCGCCGACGCAGGTCTCCTCCTGGCAGAGCGCGTCGTCGTGGGTCTCCTTCGTCACGGGGAACCGATAAGGCGCTTGGAGGTCGCCGTTGCAGCGCAGCGCCGCCAGCAGCGCCGGGCGGTTGCCGTTGAGGTTCGGGTCGTTGACCGGGCCCCACTGCAGGCCCAAAGAACTCCGCTTGCCCTTGACGGGCAGGTCCAGCTGCTCGGCCAAGCCGCGGCAGACCAGAGCCGTTCGGCCCAGAATCAACTGGCTGTTGCGGGGGAAACCGCTCTTGCACCTCGTCGGATCCTTGGGGTCGCGGCAGTGGGCCAGGGGCCGCCGCTCGCCGCCTGGGCCGGCAGAAAGATGCACATGATGTTGCTTGCGCTGCTGCAGCTGCTCCACGTCCTCCGCCAAGTATCGCCGCGTCCACTCCTCGGGCCGCAGCCGGCGGCTCGCCTGGTAGGCCGGCCGGCTCAACATCAAGGCGCAGTCTTTGTACTCCGGCCACTCCTCCTCCGCGGCGGCCCGATCGCGCTCCCAGCCGTCCGGGTCGCAGTAGACGGAGCGCCGGACATGGGCAGTGTAGGAAGCATACCTTTGCAGCAAGTTCGGAGCTCGGGCTTACCCAAGTCAAGGAGGCCGGCCAGCGACCCGCGCTGATGGCGGCACTGGACGAACACTTGCATGCGGGCGTGGAGGGCTCCGCTCTTTTGACACTCGATGGAGCCAAACACCGCGTCAACTCTGCCCAGCACGCCGCCGCCGGCCACGGCGTTGCTCCCGAACGCGTCGCTGCAAGGCTGCCCCGAAGTCGCGCAGTTCGGGCAGCGCGGGCAGAACCTGACCCCCAAGAGGTGGCGCAGCGTCAGGAGCACCAGCGTCCTGGGGCCGGAAGTCGAAGCAGCGCGGTTTCTCCCCCCCCCTTTTGCGCCGAAAGTCCTGAAGCCCTCCGCGCAAGCCAGCGGGTCCCTGGCCAGCAGCGCGCGCCTGTCCTCGTAGTTCGGCAGGTTCTCCGCCAAGGCCTCGGGGCTCAGCCGGCAGAACTCTTCGTCCAGCGCCGGCAGGCCGCCGTCCTGGAACTTCTTCGCGCCATCGAAGCCAAGCCAAACCAGCCAGAAAGCCAGCCAGGAGCCAAACCAAACCAGCCAGAAAGCCAGCCAAGCCAAACCAAACCAGCCAGAAAGCCAGCCAGGAGCCAAACCAAACCAGCCAGGAGCCAAACCAAACCAGCCAGAAAGCCAGCCAGGAGCCAAACCAAACCAGCCAGAAAGCCAGCCAGAAGCCAAACCAAACCAGCCAGAAAGCCAGCCAGGAGCCAAGCCAAGCCAGCCAGAAGCCAACCAAAAAAGCCAGCCAGGGTTTCCTTTGAGGGCGCTCGCCTTGCAGAAACAAAGGCAGCTGCTGGGCATTTTGCCAAACCGCATATCTAGGGGTCATTATTGTGCAGCCACACGCCTGCACGCAGCGTTTTAGACTTCGAATCCTTCGCAGGACGAGGTCAAATGCTGGACGGACGAGTGCCAGGAGCCTCTCAGGTAGAATAGAATCCTTTTGGGAAACCCCCTCTAAAGAGAGAGGTGCTATGTTCTGTGTTCGCGCTTTCGCGCGGCGCAGTCTGCAGCTGTCGCTGCAGTTCGCGCAGTTCGCTGCTCCGGGCTGCGCATTATGGATCCAATGTTGCGCCATTGTTGCTTCAAGGCGATTCATTATTGTCTCAACAATGCCTCTTCTTCTTTTCCTATGAGTTTCCTATGGGTTTCCTATGGGTTTCCTGTAAGATTCCTATAGGTTCCTATAGGTTCCTATAAGGGCCCAAAAAAACTCCGAGCTCCGAGCCCCCAGCCACGCCACCTGCCTGGCATTGAAGCCTCCACCCTGGCGCACCACCTGCCCGGCATAGAAGCCTCCAGCCTGCCGAGCCTGCGCCAAGGTCGGGATTCTTCCACCGAGGTCGGAATTCCGACTTCGCTTTTTTGCCCGAAAAGCCCATCACCGGGCCAGAGCCGAAGGTGTGTCAGCGATGCCGTCCTCGCGGGTGCCACTGACATAGTGTTTTTTCACCATTCACACGCCCAGCCGTCAATCCTGGCGTGGGCACAGGATTGCCCCGCTCAATCCTGGCGTGGGCACAGGATTGCCCCACTCAATCCTGGCGTGGGCACAGGATTGCTCCACTCAATCCTGGCGCGGGCACAGGATTGCCCCGGTGTCTCCCTGAAAACTCGGGAAGCGCGTCTGTACACAAAGACGCACTCCCGGACTCGCCGCCCGGATTGCCCGGAAAAAAAAACTGTGTCAGCGCCCTGCTGTATAGCAGTGCGCTGACATACTCGCCGCCCGGCTTCCCGGCTTCAAATTTGGGAAGTAACGCAAAGGGAATGGGGAAGATCAAGCTGTTTCCTACGACAGAGTATAGCAGTAAGCAGCCCTCTGACCCCGTGGTGCCCCTGGTGCCATGCACGGGCATCTTCCTCGGGCCATCAAAATCGGGCAAAACCGTGGCTCTGATCAGCCTGATTCTGAAACATTCGCGGCGTCTTTGAGAGAATTTACATCTTCAGCCCGAGTGTCAACATAGACGACGGCTGGATACCCGTCAAGAAGTACATTGAGGGGGACCTGGGGGTGAACACAGAGCGGGAGCAGACGTATTGGGACGAGTGGGACGAGGCGGCGCTGCGGCGCATCATCCAGCAGCAGCGCAAGATCACGGAGGCGTCCAAGAAGTTGGAAATGAAGAAACTGTAACAGGTGCTTGTAGTCATCGACGACTTTGCTGACACGCCGCAGTTGCACAAGCCTCACGGCGCCCTGGACACTCTCTTCATCAGGGGCCGGCACATGCAGTTAAGCACCTGGGTGAGCTCGCAGAAGCTGCGGCTCATCAGCGCAGCGGTGCGGGTGAACATGCAATTCCTCTGCTGCTGGAGGCTGCGCAACCAGCACGAGCTGGACGCCGTTATTGAGGAGCTGAGCGCCCTGCTGCCGAAGGAGCAGCTGTACCGGCTGTACGAGCAGGCGACGCGGGAACCCTACAGTTTCCTTTTGTCTACTACCTGAAGCCGAGGAATGAAATGTTCTACAAGCGCTTTGAAGAGCGCTTCGCACTTGAAAAAGACGCCGATGGGGGCGGCGCTCAGCTTCCTGGGCCAGAAGCTGTTCGCCAGCTCCACGCTGATCAACGCGAAGTGTGAAAACATCTCCTGCTGCACCTCCGTCGCAGCCGTCCAGCCGCCCGTCGTCCGCCGGACGGGCGGGTTCCTAAAGAAAAGGATGACCACTATCTACGTGGACAGCCGCCAGAGAGTGGCCGGCTCGGACAGCGACTTTGAGGTAGACCTGGGAGAGTCCCTGCACTTGCAGAGCGACGCCCGGCTCGCCGTCTACAAGATCCGCCTGGCCGACAGCTTTTTGTCCACGGACCGGGGCCGCTACCTCTACTGGGTTGACGCCGCGCTGGGCACGCTGAACTGGGCGTTGTTGCCCGAGGGCGCGTACACTGGCGCACGGTTGGCCGCCTGGATCAGCTCCAACTTTGCCAACCGCCACCTATAGCGAGACCACGAACAGCCTGAGCGTAGCCTACGACGGCAACAGGCTCATTCTGAACGACCTGGAGCTACGCCAGCAATTCCCTGATGCCGCGGACTACCCTGCTGCGCCGCCCGCCTCTCCCACCAAGCCCTTCAGCGTGGACCACATGCTGGGCCCGAGCTTCGTCTCCGGCGGGCAGGTCTTTGAGTTCGTCCGCATGATGGCGCACAACGAGGTCTACCTGCGCTGCGCCCAGCTGGCCAACGCCAGCAGAGTGCTGGGCACCCTGGGCGACGACATCCTCTCCAAGATCACGCTGAAGAGCGGAGTGGGTACCATTGTGGAGACGGGCTCAGACGACGGGCACTTCATGGCCCTCAGGGGCCCGGTTACCCTGAGGCACATGCGCTTCCGCCTGACCGACCTGGACGGCAACGTCGTCCGGCTTCGCGGGTTGTCGTTCGTGTTATATCTTGACCACGTATAATTAAATGGAGCCGACCGAACAAGAGGCGGAGGCGCAAGAGGTGCAAGAGGCGCCACACGCTGCGCCACACGCTGCGCCGGCACCGGAACCGAAACGGCGGGGCAGGCCCCCTGGGAGCAAGAACAAACCTAAGCAGGACGTGCCTACTGAGCCGGCTGCTCCAGCGCAAGCCAAAGCCGCCCCCGGTTGAGGCGCCGGCGGAGGCACCGGCAGAGGCACCGGCGGAGGCAGCGCGCCCTGCGCATGCTGGAGAGGCAGTCCGCTTATGACCGGCTGACCACAGGCGCAAGTGTACTGGTATAAAAGCCTGATGTCCATAGAGCCCCGCAACGAGCCGCGGATGCTCCGGTGGTTCCGCAAGACGTACCCCAGTTACAACTTGCAGCCGCTGCTGCTGAAGCGCTACCGAGAACTGGAGGAGGCGCGGGCCTTCCTAGGCGAGCGCAGGCAGGCGCAGGAGGGGCAGCGGCACCTGGACGACGTGAGCCGGCTGACGGAGGCCGTGCACCGCCAGGTACCCCAGCTGCGCGACGCGCGGGCCGAGCGCCGGGGCGTGGAACGGGCGGCGGGCGAAGTTGCGCAACAGTAAATGAAGACGCTCCGGGCGCACGGCTTCAACCAGCGCCCGCGCTTTGAGCAGGTGGTGGGCTACCTTGAGCGGAATGAGCCGCTGCCCCTGGACCAGCCGGACCGCAAGGCCACATCGTTCACTTCTATTTGGACGATTTTGTACAGTCCAGCGAGGACCCCAACCCTCGGCCCCTGCAGCGCACGCCCCTGCAGGCAATTCCCGAGGACGGCTTTCGCACTCCCGCAGAGGCCACGGACGAGGATGTGCGCCTTGCGCGGAGGTACCAAGGGTACGGCGGAACCCGCTTTGTTGAGGATGACCTGGCGGGAGACCCCGAGGCCGGCGCGCTGGCCAGCAACGGGCAGGGGCCGCCCTCCATAACGGACCGTCTGCGCAGCACTGCAGACGGCGCGCAGGCGGCAGCGGACCTCATAGGCGCAGGGGCAGCGGGACTTGCAGCCGCGCAGGCTTTCCGCTCTCAGCTGCCCCAGGACGCAGCTGAGTACGTGCGCCTGAACGTGCTGCCCCGTCCGGGCCAGGCGCAGCCGCCTCCGCAGATCATAGGTCGGCCCAGTGACGTGGAGCGCCTCCTGGATGAGGCGGGGCAGCGCGCGCAGGAGGTGGAGCGTGGCGCGGCGCAGGCCGTTGAGGAGACGGCGGCCGTGGCTGCGGAGGAGGGCGAGGTTGCCGTTGCCGCCGAGGGCGTGGGCGGAGCCTTTGGGTACCGGGGGGGCCTGGCGGAAGGAGCGGCAGCCCTCGCGCCCACCGCGGGCGAGGTTGCTGGAACGTTGGCTGGCGTGGCGGGAGTTGGCGCGGCGGCAACGGCGGGGCTGGCCGTGGGCATTGCAGGCGGCGCAGCCTACGGCCTGGCCCGCGGCACGGGCTGGGTGCTGGAGAACACGCTCTTCCGGCCCCAGCAGGGCAGCGAGGACGCGGCCGTGCAGGACGTCCGGTCCGCCAACAACAAGAATGACGCCACTCAGCCTCAGCACTTCACGCTGCGCTCAGGCAGCAGCACTTCAGGCAGCCCCGCAAGCAGCCGCGCCTCCTCGCAGTCCGGCTTCCGCGTGCAGGCGCAGTCCAACAACACGCCGCGCCTTCTCCTGGGGCCTGAACCCCGTGGCTCTGCCCCAGTCCCAGAGCTCGCGGGCGAGCTCCAGTTCCGGGCAGTCACGCCGGAGCCTGCCTCCGCCCAGCTTTGACCAGCTGGCGCGAGACATTGAGGCTGCTTAAAAAATGCACGCTTTTGCGCTGCAAAATGCTATTAGTCTAGGCCGTATATGAATATACACCCTGGACTAATAGCTTTTTTTGCGCGGTTTTGGGCCACAAAAACGCTATTCTTCTCGTCCGTACATCTATGTACGCACTAGAAGAATAGTTTTCCTTCGCCGTACGAGTCAAAATGCGTGTATATAAACAAGCATGGAGGTAGTCACCGCCGGAGCCCAGGATGAGCTGACGCAGAGCCTGGACTACAAGCTGAAAACAAGCAACACAAGCTACGTGACGGCGCGGCATGACGTGCAGTACTTCCCCAGCTCGCTGAGTTCCTTCTCCCCCACAACCTCTAGGGTCTGCCGCATCCCGCTGACAAGCGGCACGTCCTTCATCGACCCCGAGTCCATCAAGATCGCCTTCCGCGTCAGGAACACGGACGGCACCAACCCGCTGGCCCGGCCACGCCCAACCCCGCCTGCTTCGTCCAGCGCGTCCAGGTCTTCGCCAACGGCCAGCGCTGCGACGACATCAACTACTACGGCCGCACCGTGGCCGTGCACGACCTGCTGAAGGGCAGAGAGTACAACCGCAACAAG